CCTCTATCTTCCATCTTGTGATGTGATGCAATCACCCTCTATCTTCCGTCTTGTGGTGTGATGCAATCGTCCTCTGCATTGTCATTCCTGGCATCTATGGTGCTAATCCACGATATCAGCAAGACGGATGCTGACGCCAGATAGATCTTAGATCTTGCCCCGAAGCATTGCATAGGTGGGCCACGTGGTTCCTCCTGGCCATCATGTGAACCATGCTGCTTTGGGTGTGGTGTGCAAGTAAACGCCGTTGTGTGGGACCAGCTTCGAGGTATGCAGTCGGCAAGGCAAGTGCGGGCTGATTGGCACTTACTGACTCATCTGTATCAAAGAGTTTCCTATCTTTTCCCCCATCAAAGATTCTGCTTCTAGGCGTGGTTGGCCTCTCTGTCTGCCCCACAGCCCCTTCCTATGGCATCGAAGCCTCTTTTCACATTGATAGTCCTTGACAGGGATGGAGGTCCAGCTCGCAAGGCCAGCAAGGCTCACTGATGCTGCCCACCTCATCTGTAGTCAACACTTTCACACACTTTTCACCACAATTTATGATCCCCAACAGGGACAGGGCATCCAGTCAGCACGGCCAGCCTGGGCTTATCTGTGCTCCCTCACTCCTGGGCAGGGATCTGGAGATGCTACCTCGAGGTATGGCTGGCACCTGCCCCACAGAACCAAAGCCACTTTCCACTTCTCCAGTGTCAGACAGGGACAGAGGGAGGGTCCAGGCGGCAAGGTGAATTGGTGCTTATGGTGCTGACTTACACATTTGTGGTGAAACCCATGGGCTGTCCAGATGTGGTGACCCCCATGTAAGCTTGTTCATGACCGTTTGGTCAGCCCAAGGCAGCCATGCTTATCTTGCTGACTGGGCACTCTGGCCGGTATGGCTCCCACCTACCAGCGATGCTCCACTGCCCAGCCACCAGGGGTGGCGGCGGGCCTGCTCTTTGTGTGTGGCTGACGGGAAAGGAGGCCTGTCCATGGAAGAGCAGGCTCACCAGACCTGAGAGGAGGCAGGAACCAATCTCTGGACCCCACCCCGGCCCCTCGCCATCACATCCGTAGGTTCTAGAAAACACCTCCCCTTGTTTAGAAAACCAGTCCCTCTTGAAACTCGCCAAGTCCCACTCCAGACCCACCAAGTCCCTCTCAAAACCCAACAAGTCCAGGTCAAAAGAGGCGTCTCTCTTTTCTTAGCTCCGGTCTGCGCCCCACGCACCTTCCCCACAATGCACAGAGCCCGAGGAACGAAGCATGCCGAATGTACCATGGGCAGAGAGACACACGAATCCATCTTAGAAGAAACATAACCGGAACGCTCCTTAGAAACGAGGGCAGTGAGACTGTGGCTCATTTCTTTGGCCGCGTCATCAGGAGTGACCAGACTCTGGAAGAGGACACCCTGGTTGGGACAGTGGAGACAAGTGAGCGCCTCCCTGAGACGGACAGACACAGTGGCTACCACAGTGGACGCAGATATACCCAGACCGTGAAGATGGCGAGGGTCCAGGCCACCTCCCGCTCTGCTGTGTGTGAGGGTCCCATGGTGGGAAGCCAACCAGATGGCAACTCACAGCAGCAACAAAAGGCGCTCCGACTGCACATGTGGCTCCCTCCCAGGAGCTGAAGGGCCCTGGACGTAACAGAAGCACACTCTTCCTGAGCACACCTCCCCAACCTCCGTCCAACCCCAGTCTGTGGCCCACTGAGGCACTTACCTTAAGATGAACAGGTCCACAGTGGAGTCGCTGGCAATGGTGACGTAGGCAGTGACCACGTCTCCCTGCTTTACCGGCCTGGACGGCAACCAGACGGCCACATTACTGTCCAGCCGCAGCTCACTCAGCTGGGTACTGTCCTGGGTCCGGTAGAGACCCACGGTGCCGATCCTCTGCAGGCGGGATGTGCCTCCGCCCAGCCCGTCCTTCCCAGGCCTGATGGCATTGTCTTTCCTGGAGTCCCTGCCGACGCAGTCTCCATGCGCGTCCCCAGGCTGGACGACGTAGTACAGCTCCACGGGAGTCCCCTCCAGTCGCTCGGCTGCCTTCTTCCTGCCGCCCACCACCGTGGGGGCGCTGAACCAGGCGGGCAGCAGCTCCAGCTCGGCCACACACAGCCAGAGCGGGCCTCTCAGCTGACAGCCACCCCTGACCTCTCGGGTCTCCCGGAAGGCAAACACGCGCAGGCAGGGCAGCGGCTCAGGGGGATCCTGGGCGTCCCAGTCCCGGCCCAACACGTAGAACAGGACCTGCACTCTGGGCCGGCTTGGGTAGACCCTGTCCTGCAGGATGTGAGCCTTCAGCTTCCCGTGGAAGGTGGACTTGCTGGTCGGGCTGAGAAGGTGAGCGGGCAGCAGCAGGTCCAGAGGCACCGCCTTCTCCACAGAGAAAGGCCCGTAGCTCACGTTTAGTGCCGGGGCCCGCCGGGCCTTGTAGGCAAAGAAAGACTCCACTCTGGTCTGCAGGCTGGAGTTGCCGGCCATGCGCTGGCTGGTCTCCTTGAGGAAGAAGGAGGAGTCGGCTCTGAGGATGTGGTAGCTCGCGGGGAGGTAAGGCGGCAAGGAGGAGAACCTCTGCACGTTGTCCGGGACCCCTCGGCCCTCGATCACTGAGTGGGGAGAGAGAAAAAGGGCAGAGGGGGGTTATCCGAGGGAGGTTCAAAAGCACTGGACCCCACCAGTCGTCCTAAGCCAGGGAATGTTCAGGGATCCTGCACTTCACTGGAATTTCCATATTCTGTCAGGGTTCCAGGTAAAATGATGCCAACAAAACCCCCAAACCCACTGCTTTTGAGTTGACCCCCATGCCTGGGGACCCCATGTCAGGTTTCTGAGGCTGTAAGTCTTTGGTTGTTTGTTTAAAACTAGCTCGTGGGTCACAAAAGAATATGAATCTATTTCAATGTCGCTCCTATCACCACGGAGACCGGGGTTTGGGGCTGATGGGTAAGGAATCTGGGGGGCATGTTAAGGCTGCAACCCCGTTTTTACATTTACAAATTAATGTATGTTTACGATTTCCCTCATTTACAAATTAATATATGTTTATGATTTCCCTTCTATGTGTGGGCTGTAACACATGCAAGGGAAAACACGTCTATACACACAGCGGCACATCTCATGGCATCAGAGCAGTGGCGGTATCCCAGTGAGCGCGC